CTCTCTCTCTCTCTCTCTCTCTCTCTCTCTCTGGCTCTCTCTCTCTTTCTATCTTCTGTAATTATTACACATAACAGCACAAGGCTTTGAGATGATAATGTATTGTTACATGGGTGAAACAAAAATATGAATAAATCCAAATAAATCCATACCTTTTCTTGTTCTTATTCTTGTTTTTGGTAGTGGGGATTGCACCCACGACCTTCACACTGAGATACATTGCCAACCACTTTTCTATTTTTTTTATTTTGAAATAGGGTTCTACTAATTTGCCCAAGTTAGGCTCCAACTTGAGATTTTCCTGCCTTAGCCTCTCACAGTGCTTTGATTACACACATGTTCCACCACAACAAGTTTATAAACTTATTTTTATAGATATAGACGTTCTGCCTTTTCCTGACTATAAGATTTCTATACATACAACTCAGAAGTCAAACAATAAGACTTAAAATGTAAGATCTCATCTTTTCTTTAAATCATTAACACCCTGATGTTTTTCCTCATTGCACTTAATGAATTTTATAATTAGATAGTGGTGTGTTTTTTCTATACTCTTTGTTAGTAGTCTTTGATCTCTTTAAGGATGGAGATCAGAACTATTTTTCACCTTGTACATGTAACTATTCTGGCCCACCATCTAGCATGATTCCTGGTACCTTGTAAGTTCTCAGTAAGTATTTGCTAAATTAACTATTAAATGAATATAGCAGCATAAACTACATTTTGCAATGCCAAACTATCTGCCTTGTTTGCTCAGACATTCTGCCTGGTGCTTTTTATCTTATGGGACTACATTTGACAGGTTCCATTGTTGTCTGGCTTCTAAGAGGCTTGTCTAATGGGAGTCACTCACAGGAAGATTGGGAGTGGGGGGTGGAAAGGTGTTGGGTTTTTTTTCCAATTTCTTTCTCTATCCTGGGACAGGATGCAGCAGGAGTCCCAGAAATCTACTTTCCACCAAGAAACATTGGCTGCTGATTCCTTTCCCATCACTCCTGCATCCATAAGAGTCACCCTACCCTCTAGACTTTGCTCCTATAGGATTGCCTCAGTACCTCTGCTCTTCCATCATCAGTGTAATTTTCTGTTCTCTATTTTCTTTGTATTAAAAACACTGTTGATCAAATGAACTTAATGGACATGTACAGAACATTCAACAGAGTATACATTATTTTCAGCAGCTCATTGGATGTTCTTCAAAAGAGATTATATTTTAGGATGTGAAACAAATCTTAAGTGCAGAAAAAGAAACAATTTCTTCCTTGTCATCACATCATAATGGAATAAAACTAGAAATAAAGATCAATAGAAATTATAAACATATAGATAATGATAATTTTACTTTTAGACATCAGCGTGTCATTGAAAAAACTTAAAGGGGAAATTGAAAATTTCCAAGAATCAAATGAAAATTGTAACACAGCATAACAGCATCTTTGAGATACAGAGAAGACAGATTAAAAGGGAAATTCATAGCTGAGCATCTATATCAAAAACATCAGAGTGAGATTTCAGACAAGATTGGACACATTCAGGGTGGTACAGCTGCAGACAAGAGCAATTTCAAATAAATAATCTCTAAATAAATAACCATCACACAGTCTCATAAAAACAAGAACAAACTAAAATCAAACCGATGAACAACAAAAAAGTAATAATAAAGATCAGAGCTGAAATCAATGAAATAAAGATTATGAAAAAGCTTAAGTAAATTGAAAAGTTGGTTCTTTGAAAAGGTAAGACTGATAAATTAAACTTAACCAAGCTATCCAAGAGAAAGAGGGAAGATCTAAAACAATATGATTAGAAATGAAAAGGAGGATATTAAGATAACACTGAAACCCAGAACATCACTAGGGCCAATTTCAAAGCCTATATTCCAATAATTGGAGAATATAGAAAAAAATGGATGAATTTCTAGACACATATTAATTAATAAAATTGAAACAAATATGTATTAAAAATGCTAAACAGATCAATAACAAGTAATGATATTAAAAATCTCTCAGGAAAGAAAAACTCGCGATCCAGAGTTCTGCCATACCATCAGTAAGAGTGAACACATCTTGGGGAGCAGCTCTGTGGACCAGAGTGGTGCATCTGCAGGTGGGTCCCAGCCAGGGCCCAGCCCTGACTCCACAGGCGTGGGCACATGTGTCCAAGCCACAGCCCACCTAGAAAAGACCTGCACAAGCATGCAAGCTTCATCCAGAGTCCCGCCATACCATCGGCCACAGCCAAGGGCCCACTTGGAAAAGAACTACACAGATGCATAGGCAACAGCCAGAGACTTGCCCTAATACTGCGGATAAGTGCCTAAAGACCCTAGCCAGATGCCTATACAGACAACAGGAACTGGGATACACAACCCCAGCCAAACCCCCTCAACCAGACAACAGCCACATAAGGGCCTCAGCAAGAAGCACACCTAGATACCATCCCAAGTGTGCACAGGCCCCAGCCAGAAGCCCACCTATACAACAGGTCAGCTCAGGGATATAGAAGGCCTCCATTCTAGAGCCAGGAATTGGTGTACTGGGGAGCAGCAGAGTAAAGGCTGCTCGGTGGCTTGCTGAGAATTGAAGACCACTGTGAGAGCAAAAAGTTGCCTCAACAAAGGCACAGCAGGCTGTATCTGTTGAAATGAGAAGACACAGAAACAAAACCAGACTTCCAGATCACCTAAGGCAACCCCAAATGGAAATGAGATGGAACAATCAGGTATTCGACCACCTGGACTCCCTGAACTGGCAATGAAAGAGGACCTGGAAAAAATGAAATAAAAAATAATTTCTCAATTAACACCAGAGATTGTCCCCATAGTACAAAATATGATTAATACATCTACAGCAGACACAGATAAAACATAGAGAAGCTGAGAAACATGGAACTTCAACATAGCAAACAAATGGAATCCATAAACAGATGCAAATAGATTTCCAAGAGATTAAAAACTCCACCGAAAGTTTATGCAGCAGAAGAAGGCAATGCTAGGACACAATTTCAGATATAGCAGATAGGATTGCAATTAGTGACCAGGAAAATAAAAATCTGTTAAAAATAGTAAGAGACCATGATAAAAAAAAGTAGTAAGGGACCATGAGAGATCAATCCAGCAGCTGCTAGAGTATTCAAAGAATAATATAAGACTGATCAGAGTCAATGAAGAAAGTGGAGAGGGTATAGATGACATAAAAAACTGTTCATTGAAGTAATGGCAGAAAGCTTCCCAAACAGGGAGAAAGAACCTGACATACAGATAATTGAGGCTGATAGGACTCCAACTAGCTATGATTAAAAGAAATCTACACATAGGCATATGATAGTCAAGATTCCAGAAGCCCAACAAGAGAACAAAATTCTACAAGCAGTTAGAGAAAATAAACAAATTACATATAAAGGAAAGCCCATCGTAATCACAGCTGACTTCTCAAAACAAACCCACAAGGTAAGAAGAGCATGGAGTGACATATTTCAAGCCCTAAAGGAAAACAACCTCCAACCCATATTGATGTACCCCACAAAAGTATCTTTCAAAATTGATAGAGAAATAAGATACTTTCATGACAATGAACACCTTAGGAACTTCGTGAATACTAAACCAGCACTCCAATAAATTTTTAACAATATCCTAGGAAAAGACAATGAGGATCACAACCCCAGGAAGCCCAGCAGAATGAATCCATCAGGCACAACAAGAAATTAAATGCAAAGGGGGAGAATCCAACAAAAAGAAAAAGTCATGACAAGGATAAGTCAATGCATATTAGCTATAATCATCAATGTTAATGGTCTCAGTTATCAATCAAATAGACTGGTAGAATGGGTCAAGAAGTAAGATCCAACAATATGCTGCATACAAGAAACACATTTAATTCAAAAAGAGACTCAGAGGGCCAGGGATTTAGCTCGGTGGTTCCACCACCTGCCTCACAAGCGAAAGGTCCTGAGTTCAATCCCCAGTAAAAACAAAAAACAAAAACCTCACTCATAAACTGAAAGTTAAAGGGTGGAAAACAATACTCAACGTGACAGGAACCCCCCCAAAAAAGCACGAGTAGCTATCCTCTTTGCAGATCAAGTGGATTTCAAACTAACACTGATTATGACAAAGAAGGACACTACATCCTTAAGAGGGGACAATCCAAGAGGAAGAGATGGCAATCATAAATTATGTGTGTGTGTGTGTGTGTGTATGAATGAAACACAACTGCACCCAACTATATAAAACAAATAGTAATGGATATGAAAAATCATATAAACACTAAGACCATAGTAGTGGAGGACCTCAATACCCCACTGTCACAAATAGATAGATCAACCAGACAAAAAATAAACAATGAAATAGTAGAACTCCATCAAACTCTTGAACAAATGAACTTAACAGGTGTTTCCACAGTGTTCCACCCCACAAAATCATAATACACATCCTTTTTGGCTGCACATGGATCATTCTCACTCTTTTCCCAATATGAATATTCACTGCTAGGAATTTCCCTTATAAGACTTCTTTCATTGTGTCCCATAGATTCCAATATGTTATATTGCCATTGTCATTGAATTGTAGGAAATGTCTGATTTCTTTTTTAATTTTCTCTATGACACATTGGTTATTCAGAAGTGTGTTGTTCAATTTCCATGTGTTTATGAAATTCTTGTGGTTTCTTTTGCTATTGA